CATGTGCTACACCACACCAGACCATTAATGCCTCACCATACCATACTATACCATACTATACCATACAACACCATATCATACCACACCATGCCATTCCATGCCATATTGTATCATAACTCCATACCACACATTACCATACCGTACTGAACCATCCAGACCAGACCATTCTTACTCATTACCACACCATTACATGCATGTGATGTCTTCACTTTGTTCTAGTTGACCTCTACGGTTCCACGTGCGGAATTTGAAAAGCTCTACTCTGAACTAACAAACGCCTTGGAGCGAGAGAAACGAGCTCAAGATATATTGAATGAACAATCGGATCAACTGAAGAACATGGAACGAAGATTGACCACTGTGAACAAAAACAGCGAACAAGCAGATATCACACTGGCGGAGGCAGTCAAGGTACTGTAGCTTTAACTCTGTTACTACGAATGCACAGACGTTAGTGGGCCTGCGTTTGGTAGTAATCCGATTATTACCAGTATGTCGTATTCGCATGTGAGGAGAGCGATTCTAGTTTAACTCTTAGACAGTTTAACTCTTAGTTTAGATTTCCTCCTGTAGTTATACTAGATCAATAACAGATGATCCTTACTTGACCTCTAGGGAGAACAGTTTGGAACTGATACAGCCCAGTGTAAATAAAGTTAGTTTTGTTTAGGATTCTTCCACTGGATCAATAAGAGATGATCCTTACTGGCCCTCGTAGAACTGATAGAGCTATCCAGTAGAAATAAAGTTAGTTTAGTTTAGGTTTCCTCCTGTATATAATTCTGGAGCAATAAGAGATTATGCTTACTGGACCTCTAGGAAGTGAACTGATAAAGCTATCCAGTAGAAGTAAAGTTAGTTTAGGTTTCCTCCTGTAGTAACTAGATCAATAAGAGATGATCCTTACTGGACCTCTAGGAAGAACAGTTTTGAACTGATAAAGCTATCGAGTAGAAATAAAGTTAGTTTAGTTTAGGTTTCCTCCTTTGGTAACTAGATCAATAAGTGATGATCCTTACTGGACCTCTATAGGAACTGATAAAGCTATCCCAATAAAGTTACAGTAGTTATTTCAAACACTGATCTAATAGTTAGATCAGTGATTTCTAATAGTATTTTGGTTTGACAATTTTTGATAAAGAATCTCTCGGAAGCGAAGATGGAGATCAAGCGTAAGGAGCAGAATGTTCGTATGGTAGCAAAGGACACACAGTTGGTTGAGAGTGAGAAACGGTTACTGCACGAGAAACTGGACGATGCTGAGAAAGCCATGACTGGAGCAGCAAGGTTTGTTCTGAATGAGAATTAAAGACCGAACTAAATTTAAATTGAGAATGAAATTCAATTCCAAATTCCGAATGAAATCGGATTATGAAATTGATTTGAAGTTCAAATATCCAAACATTCAAAGTCAAAACGAAATTTAACCAACCACCGTGTGCCACAAAATATATTTATCAGTGAAATTTATCATTCGTTTTCAGAGAAAAGGAAACGGTTTTAATCTACTTGAAAAGCGTTCAGAAAGGTTTGGAAGAGAACAAGGCCGCCATAAAACAGACACGACAAGGTTTTTATGATCTCTCCAAGTTTTTACTGAGTGATGCCAAGCTTGGGACCGAAGGATACCCAGTTGGACCAACGTTATTAGCTTGTCAGGTGTGTGTTATTATTTGTCTGTTCATTTGTTTGTCTGTCTTATTTTGTTTTGTCCACCTTGGCTGCCCTCCGTGATGAGACATGGGTCGTATGGTGGCAGCCAGAGGCGTCCCTGTAAGCTTTGATTCAGTAACGTTTGAGATGCGTTCTTTGCTATCAGCAGTCTGCTGCGAAGGACAATTAGCAACCCTTTACATCGATAGCATTAAACACTATCTGTTTGCATGCTCTTCGTGTATCTGTTTGTCTGTCTGTCTGCTAGCTAGCTAGCTAGCTAGTTAGTGTTTGTTTGTTTGTTTGTTTGTTTGTTTGTTTGTTTGTTTGTTTGTTTGTTTGTTTGTTTGTTTGTTTGTTTGTTTGTTTGTTTGTTTGTTTTGTTTGTTTGTTTGTTTGTTTGTTTGTTTGTTTGTTTGTTTGTTTGTTTGTTTGTTTGTTTGTTTGTTTTGTTTGTTTGTTTGTTTGTTTGTTTGTTTGTTTGTTTGTTTGTTTGTTTGTTTGTTTGTTTGTTTGTTTGTATAACATTAACTTAAATAGTAACCAGATTGTGTTATTTCTCACTCGTAGAGTGTGGTAAACGTCTTTCTGGAAGTGCATCAGCAAACGTTAGTTCTAGTAACTCAAGTCGAAGCAGATAAACAAGCAGCACAAGTGAAGATTGAAAGTTTAGAAAGCGAGATCACGTCATGTCGCTCACATATCAACACTTTGAAAGGCGAACTCACTGCTGCTTATCAACGACAGTTGAGCGATGATGACGTTTATCAGTATGGCAAGACACACCTCGTAAGTTTTTAGTCACTCATTTTCCTGTAGGGATGATTCAAGGATAAAATCTCGAACTGTCGGAAATGTGGTGCATTTTCCCGCGCGTCATACAAATTAATACAAAATTTGCAAATTTCGCAGGGCTATATTTTCCTCATTTTACAACATTTCGCAACCAAACTTTGCAATTTTACTAATTTTAACATGCTCTTTCTAGCTGTGGTGATGGATTTTGTTCTTCTTGCCTGGATCAAAATTTAGACTATAGCTGAAATCATCCATTCTAAACTGGTTTCCCCTAGAAGGCCAGTAAGAGTCATCAATTATTGATTCAGTGTTACTACTTGTATGTTTTAGGAAGCACCTGCGACCATCCCACTCAACAACAGCCGAGATTCACATTTTATCGAACGAAATGACAGCGAAAGTTACAGTCGGGAATATGTACCGTTAATGTAAGTCAATCGCATTTATTGCATGAATGACACCTTTTCCAATTCTGAACATTTTCGTTTTCTATATAGGAGATATGAATCGCTTTCGCCCATAAAGTCACCAAGAAAACCAAAAGAAAATACATACTCCAGGTATTTATACATCAACGTAATATAAATGAATTGGGAGTTGACTTTATTTCTGGTTAAATTTCCAGGCTATTTTATCACACTTGTCCTACCACAGTCTGGTTAATGTAACCAGACCATGGTAGGTGGATAAATAACCTGGGGTCAGAGGACATGCTGGTCAAATATAACCAGATTCCCGGTTACATTAACCATACTATGGTAGGGTATTAAAGTTAACCCAAATAGACCCATTGCACTGACGTCTCAAATCCTTAGAGTGTCCTCCAGATGCTCCCTAACAATATCTGTTCGGGTACAACAACCACATACAGCGCAAAAATTAACCATTTGAATACAAATTTTTTATAAAATTTTACAAAATTTGCTTTGTTTACAAAAGTTATATTGTGCATAGAATGCTAATTTGTCCTCCAGATGCATCGTCACCGGCGCTGTGACGTCATGTGCAATGGGTCTAGGGCAATAGGGTTGTGTCTAGGTTAATCTCGAATATTTTAACTCCAGTATTTTTAAAGTGTGTTTTTCTGTAGTAACACTGGAGCAATAAGGGATGACTGTTACTGTTGGGGGAAGAACGGTCAAAATACTTTAGCTTTGAAAACTAGTGCGTTCTTATTTCTCTTACAGTCAGCACAAACGTGATAGCAAAACCTCCGATCGATCAAGCAGATCTACAAAACCATCCAACAGGTAGCCATGGCAACTAAAGGTACCAGATTATTTGTGTATTTTATTGCCTAGTATATACAGTGACTCTTGCATGTCTTGACTTCTGTAAGAAGAAAACGTGCGCGGCAAAATTATTTGTGAACTCCCTTCAAGTCATCAGAAAGGTTCAGATTTGACTTCCACTACCGCTACCATTAAATTAGGCGCCATTAACCAATCAGACGCGTTTGAACTATCCGATTAACCAATCAGATGCATTTGAACTATCCAATTAACCAATCAGATGCATTTGAACTATCCGATTAACCAATCAGATGCATTTGAACTATCCGATTAACCAATCAGATGCATTTGAACTATTCGATTAACCAATCAGATGCATTTGAACTATCCGATTAACCAATCAGATGCATTTAAACTATCCGATTAACCAATCAGATGCATTTGAACTATCCGATTAACCAATCAGATGCATTTGAACTATCCGATTAACCAATCAGATTCGTATACTAAAGCAGTGAACGGTAGTGGTAGCATGCAGTAGTGGAAATCTAAACCTGCATTTTTCACAGTCTAAAACTGTCTGTACCAGTGTAGGTAGTACCAATGTGAAAATGCTGTCGGCTGAGTGGTTGTATTACTACCTTAAAAAATAAGCAGAAACTCGACGTTTCGAGCGAGTTAGTGACTAACTCTTGACGAAGGGCCTTCGCTCGAAACGTCGAGTTTCTGCTTATTTTTTAAGGTAGTAATATAACCACTCAGCACAGCATTTTTCACAGCCGCCTTTTCTGAAAATCGTTGTTGCGGACGCCATATGCATAACACAGACTATGGTTACTTGAACGTTTTGTGTATTTTAAAATGTAAATAGATTTTCTTTGATGTGTATTTTGTACATGAGCATAAAATCTTAATATAATACTTGTCATACACTTTTTAACCCCGCTTTTTATTCGCTATATGATTCAACTAAGGCCAGCTCAATTGGCAAGCGATATATTTTACAGTGTTGCGAAGCAATAATATTATTTATAATAGATTAAATAAGCCATTTCATTCTATAAAATATAATTAGATATGATATAATTCGAATATCGTGTCATCGTCTCACAATAGTTCATTTCGAAATACCGTAGTGTTCATGTATCAGTAATTATTCCCGTATTGCTAATTATTTACAATCAATAATATCGATAAACAATAGTCACAATCGGTTATTATTCCCTATTCGATAATTATTCACACAATTATCGATTATTATTTCCTATCGATAATTATTCACATAATTATCGATGATTATTTCATATCGATAATCATTCACGCGGGATGCGGGTCCGATGTATCGATCGATTGTTGTTGAATCTTCCAATAAAACAGCACCAATGTTAACGTAATGGACAACGCAAAAAACCAGAAGAAAAATTTATCCAAAACAATGGAAGCAAACTGCCATTCCTCCTTTTTCGCTTCGATTTCCTCGTTGCGATTTAAATGATCGACAAAGACTCCAAGCTGTTTTGAAATACCGTCCATCTTTGTCTCGAGGGAAACGCGCAGTGGTTCGGAAATGGGCGGAATATCATCGTCGTCGTTTGTCGTCACGGACTCGGTGCGCTGTCGCTCTTTCAACTTTAGCGTGCCGTTTGCAGATTTATACAGCAGTAACTTCTGTGGCTTTTTGTACTTCACCTCAACCGGTTGCCAGGGTTTCTGATCCGAGATACGATTCTGCATTCGAAAAACTGGCGCGAGCACGCGGAATATGAGAAAACGAAACCAACGCGGCATTTTGCGAAACTCATTGTGATGATAGCAACGAGAAGTGATGCACGTTAGGATCATTGAGATGCCCACTTGGTAGAAAAGGGCGAAATAGTACGCTCCGATTAGCGGTACCACTTCGCTCGATGGCGGAATACGTTCGTTAAACAACAACAAGAACACTGTGAGCCCAAGCAAGATCGTGATATTCAGTGAAATCCTCTCACCACTTTCTGGTGGGACATAAAACGAAAATACCACCAGCCCAGCTAGGATTAGATTTGGCATAACCAAGTTATTCACGTAGAACAGCACCCTTCGTTTCAAAATGATTTTATAAGTAATATCGGCAAACGGATCATGGCAACAGTTGTAGTTCACGATATTTCGGATGCCGGGGACGCCTTGGAGTTCCCATTCGCCGTTGATATAATACATCGACAGATCAGCCGTGCCGGGTCGAGTCATGGTTAAGTTCAACGTGGCTGTCGTGTGTGTCCAAGAGCCGAATTTTAGGAAACATCTTTGATGGTCAAATGGGAAATATGCGATGTCGATGTGGCAAATACTTTTGATCTCCGTCGGAGCCCACCATTGACTGCGTCCATCGTGGCCTATGTTGATCATTGTGTTGAATTTATACATCTCTCCACCAGCGCTTATACCAATACTAAAAAGAATAAGTTATCATAAGTTACATAAACTTTAACTTTGATTTTCTCGGCTTAGACAACGTTTATTTTTAAAAATACTTCGACAAAGATCTTATAAGATGGGTGTTTAATAGACCTTTCCCCTTTTAAGTGAAATTTTGATCTAGACTAGCCTGGACAGTTTGATCATCTGATTATCAATTTCCCGTTTGTAATGCAAAATGACTGAAAAACGGCAAACTTCGCAAGGCTATATTATCCGCATTTTACAACATTTTGCAACGAAACTTCGGAATATTACTAATTTTGCGATGCTCTTTCAAGCTGTGATCAAAGTTTTGTCGAGACTTGTCTAGATCAAAATTTCACTTAAAAGGGGAAAGGTCTATTAGTACATAAATGTTATTGTTAATAATTAATGGGCGTGTGATTAGGGGCAGAGTAGATTTGTAAAGTTAACTCTGAAAGGAGGATTGAAATGGACATGTTGTATTATTTTTGGCATGCTCGTTTCATTGTTCAACCCTCACACATACCTTAAAGGGGCAATGTCACCGATTTTTGACCTAAAATGCCCTTTATTCAAAAACTAAACTACAAAGTTAAAAATAAACAGTGTAAACGGATTAAGTTATGATATATGAGTCATATTAAACAACTTTAAACCTCCACGCAACATGTACATGACATTTTCATAAAAATTGACTAAAACATGAAAAAGTGTCTGCCAACAATTAATCAAGATGCCATTTACAATCCATCTCAATCCTGGCGTAATCTTGCCCGTCCAGACTTCTTTTTGTGTCTGTTATTGCTTTATTTTGTGCTTCTTTTTCAGTTTTGGGCAAAATTTGCGAGGGTTAGAATTGCTCAAAAGTCGGTGACATTGCCCCTTTAATATAATGTTGTTGGATACGAACCTGTTGTATAGAACAATATCAGGTTTCCATATGAGTTCAGGGTCAAGTTGAATCCTGTTGATGTTGCAGTATTTCGTTTTGTTCCATGTAAGAAACGCGTTGTGCCACACCTGTAAGAAAGAAATATCAATTCCACTCTCCTTCCTCCACTCTAAGCTTTCAGACGAAGTTATTTGCCATCTTAAATCTTGAAGTTACGTTGTTGAAGAATGAAAGTAGTGGTACTTTATAATTCGGTTACAGAGCTCAGTTGTGTTGCACAATAATGAGCAATAATGAACGTGATGAGCAGAAATATGCTAAACGTTTGCAGTTTGGGAGAACAATATATACAGCTAATTCAATAAAGGTCGTCCTTTGCAAACCTTAAACTCTTACACCCGTTTTCAAAATTACGCGACCTCCCTGAAAAATACTCCTACTTCAAATGTCAGTTTTATGTCACAAGAACTGCTAAAAATAGCAAACGTAAACAAACTGTCTAAAGACATTTTAAACCGTAATTAATACCAAAACTGAACAAAAATGAGTCAGATAACTTAGATATACAAACTAAAGCACAATACAAACCATCACAACATAAATATATGTGCCGTGAATGACGTTTAAAGTTTGAAAAATAACAATTTATCCTGGAATATAGCTGTCAGTATAAAACACGCGCGCTAGACTATAACGGTGATGTTATGATTTTGTCGTGCTTAAATTTTACAATAATTCCCACTAAAATATCTTGAAAATCATTGTAAGTCTGTTTATATGAAGCATACAAAGCATATACATCGACAAGGAACCGCAAAACTCAAAATTTGAACTTCGTGATCGAATTACATAAAACTGACATGTCAACTCTAGCATTTTCGTCTTTGATCGCGTAATTTTGAAAACGGGTGTAAGTGTGCAAAGCACTGGAAAAAAAGTGAAATCCACACTACGAAATTTGCAATTGCACCACTAAATCCATAGTATATCATCCTATTTCCATACTATATCCATACCATGGAAATATACAATTATTATGGAGAACCAAAATCCATTTTATTTCCAATAAAGGTCCATACAATTTCCATTCTATGACCGTCTATGGATTTTCAAAATTTTTCCAGTGAAGCATATTAGGGAGCATCATATAGTTAGTTTGGAAATCATATATGGGGCCCATTTCTTAGAGACATGGTTAATATCTCTTTACGAGAACAATTCATTCAGAAATAGCTGCAATATTCAACTACTAAGGGACTGGTCATAAAGTAACTGCTAGGGTGGGCTGGAAGTAAATCACAAATTTTGCCAATAAGTTCGGTGACCCATCTTAGGATATGATAAAAAATTTTCATGACCCACCCATTCTAAATTGGGAAAATACACTTTTATAATAAAAAAAACTTGCAGGTATGAACATTGTAAAATATACATGGCACTGTAGTGACATACATAATTCCACCAAGCTTGACCAACACATTGATACTGAGCTGCTCTCCAGCCGGTTGTATTTGCTGTGATTCGACCACGTCTTGTTGTTGTATAAACAAAGTGCTGGCTTCAATAGCATTATTTGCATTTGATGATTTGGACAGTTTTGGTTTACTTTTATTATTATCTTTATTAAATTTGAAGCAGACATGCATGGGTTTTTGTTTGGTGGCCCAACCGTGGACATACAAAAAAATTGGTGGCCCATCGAAACTGCCCAAAGATTTTCCATGGCCCATCCCAAATCACTCCAGCCCACCCTAGCAGTTACTTTATGACCGGTCCCTAAATTTGATACTTATGCTCCCATAAGCTTTGCGCCCTTAGAGTTTAAGATTTAAGGTTTGCAAAGGATAACCTTTTTTGAATTGGATGTAGGGGGGCTATATATGCGTGTCTCACCTGTCGAACCCAAACTTTGCTTGTCAGGATTTGCTTTTTTCCATCCTAAAACATTTACAATGTTATCTAAAATATTTTCAAGTTAATGCTGTCTCATTATAACTTAACCTCAACTGAATGTGTGAAGTTTGACTACCAGGGCCAGCAAATGTTTCTCTCAAGTACTCCTGTTTCCTCCTGTAGTATCACTGGGCCAATAAGAGAATAGGAAGAATAGTTTAGAACTGATGGAGCTACCCGGTTAAATAAAGTTAGTTGCGTTCAGGTTTCCTCCTGTAGTAACACTGGATCAATAAGAGATGTCCCTTATTGGACCTGTAGAGAGAATACTTTAGAATTGATAGGGAGCTAACTAGTGTAAATAAAGTTAGCTTCGTTTTCGCAAAACGTTCTCACCAAGTCGACAAGTTGATTATACGAGACATCAAAACCGACATGTACATTATCGTTTCTGTTGTGTACTGGTCGCACGTGCTTGTTATGTCCCTCGAGAAGTCGACTTATGAGGAGTTGTTCCACGTCATCATCCTCGCACGACACCGTTCCAATGTCAACCGCTCTGCCTTCACTTTTGGTGTTGACGTCATCCTTACATGTTTCCATAGCAACTTTGGAACTCGTCTCTTTTTGTGTTTCATTTATTACTTGTTCTTTTCCTTAAATAATCGAAAGAAAGTCATGGCATTATGTTCCATTTTTTCTTTACAGAAAACACTTCACATGATAGGTGTATACGAGGCCTGTTTAGCTTAAAGTGCCACTAACCCAAAATATGATTTTTTATGTGTAATGTTTGTGTCATTCGAAGAAGAAATGTTACACCCGTTTTCACAATTACGCGACCTCCCTGAAAAATACTCTTACTTCAAATGTCAGTTTTATGTCACAAAAACTGCTAAAAATAGCAAACGTAAACAAACTGTCAAAAGACATTTTAAACCGTATTTAATACCAAAACTGAACAAAAATGAGTTAGATAACTTAGATATACCATCTAAAGCACAATACAAACTACATCACTACAGAAATATGTGCCGTGAATAACTTTTAAAGTTTGAAAAATGACAATTTATCCCGGAATCTAGCTGTCAGACCTGTCAGTATAAAACACGCGCGCCAGACTATAACGGTGATGTTATGATTTTGTTTGTGCTTAAATTTTGTAATAATTCTCACTAAAATATCTTGAAAATCATTGTAAGCCTGTTCATATGAAGCATACAAAGCATATACATCGACAAGGAACCGCAAAACTCAAAGTTTAAACTTCGTGACCGAATGACATAAAACTGACATGTCAACTCTAGCATTTTCGTCCTTGGTCGCGTAATTTTGAAAACGGGTGTAATGTATCTTTATAATAAAAAATCCCATCTTGATCAACTTTTTCACTGTCAAAGTTTCTGGATATGATGTCATTAGGTGAATTGCAAATTAGTTTTCCCTAGTTTTTTTTTACCAAAAATTTACCTAATTACCTTGAATAATGAATTTTGACAGTGAAAAAGTTGACCAAGATGAGGTTTTTTACTATAAAGATACATTACGTTTCTCCTTAGAATGACCCAAATATTACCCATACCAAAAATCATGTTTGAGGTTGGTCACACTTTAAACATGCAGTGTATAGTTTTGCCTGTCAAGAGCTAAGAGCGGTTCTAAGCTAAGAGCATTTTGTATCAAGCGGGCTGTAGCCGGTCATCCGCAACCAGAATCGTGTCATAAAAATAATTCGTTTACGACAAGAGAAGATTTGGGTTAAGTTAAAGACAAATTTTCGCCCAATCTACATCGAATATGTCTCGAAGTCATTTTCAGACGTGGAAGAAATTAGTCAGCCCAGTTAAGGTTTGGTTTCCATCAAAGTGTCTGTGATCACAGTAGGAATTTTGCATGGGTAATTGACTAAATTCTACGTTTTGAAGGATTTGTAAGAAATGTTTGAACGAACTGTTAAACAGTGTTCAACACTGAGTCAGTTTCCACAAACATTTCTTACAAATCCTTCAAAATTTACCCATGCAAAATTCCTATACTGCTGATCACAGAAAGTTTGATAGCATTTTCTTTTGTGTGAAAGTCAATATAGTTTCCAGAGAGATCTTATATACACTAGATAGCGCATCTCTTTTAGTAAAATTGAAGCCAAGAATATTCCAGCGGTTACCTCCATTTGAATAAATGGCGGCCATGTTGGTAGTTCCCACTCGCTAATAAACGCTTGAAAAACAACAATAACTTTCATCATTTGAATAGTTTAAAAATGTATTTGGAATATAGGTTTAACTGTTTAAGAAATAGAAAACATACGAATCTTCTCATTTCATGGCCATGGGAATATCCTGAGCCTGCAATCACGGCTTCAATTTTTGAATAGCAGAATAATTAGATGCACTATCTAGTGTATATAAGATGTCTATGATAGTTCCACTCTGGTGCTCAGGAAACAACGAATTACGCTACGTTTAATTTGGTACGATACGGTTGAAATGGAAGACAGGATTTTAGCTTACAACAGAAGCTGGTACTCATTGACAGCTAAATCATTCGGGAACTTCTATTCTCATTTTTACACAAACGAATGAATTATCCGCGCTTTTTTTCTTTATATGATATGAAATTCTATGCATGGACTTGTTGAGATACATGAAAGATAAAATTTTTCTGACATTGACTCCAAGGGGTGCATGTTGATTGATGAGACATTTCAATAATAACGAGACAAGTTATGCGCGCAAAAGACTTAATCTTCAGAAGCGCCCTTGAGAGCAGAAATTTAATAAAGATGCCGCACAGCTAGGTCTTTGAGGCAGACCACCCTATAGCTCCTGGCTACAGTAGGCTCTATAGATTTCGATGGCAACTGTACTTACTTTCCTAAACGTGACGTGGCTTTTCCTACATGACGATTTCCTTCTAAACTCTCCCAAGAATTCCAGTAAGACATGTATGTATCCCTTATTGATCCTTCATTCCTACGTGACCAGGAGGAAACCTAAACTAAACTTTATTTGCATTGGTATATCTGTTCCAAACTGTTCTCCCTATAGAGGTCCAGTAAGGGTTATCGAGGATTGATCCAGTGTCACTACAGGAGGAAACCTAAACTAAACTAACTTTATTTATATTGGACAGCTCAATATATCAGTTTCAAACTGTTCTCCCTAAGAGGTCCAATAAGAGTCATCCCTCATTGATGCAGTGTTACTATACGGGAGGAAACCTAAACTAAACTAACTTTATTTATATCGACAGCTCAATATATCAGTTTCAAACTGTTCTTCCTAAGAGGTCCAATAAGAGTCATCCCTCATTGATGCAGTGTTACTATACGGGAGGAAACCTAAACTAACTTTATTTATATCGACAGCTCAATATATCTGTTTTAAACTGTTCTCCCTAGAAGTCCAGAATCGCATCAGAAGAAAATCTAAAGGCCTGTATAGCTCGCGCGCGAAAACCCTTTCGTATAGCCAAGACATACACCTACTGTACAATCCAAATTAATGTGTCTGAAAACTGGCTTTAATGCTAATTAGTTTTCCCGCCGAGCATATAGATTTCGGAAAGCGATTTACTTGATAACTTGTGTTGTTCAAAAGATTAATTTAATTTGAAATTTTTCCTGATGACAGATCTATTTCTAAGCTACAAGAATATGTAAAAATGTAAACATGTAAAAATGTTTTTTTGAAATTTTTTTTTAATGTTTTTAATCAAAAGATTAATGTAATTTGAATTTTTTCCTGATGACAGATCTATTTCTAAGCTACAAGAAATTCAAGCTTTTTGAAATTTGTAAAGGGTATCCGTAACCTTAATTGGCTTAGAAGTCTTAAAGTCTAGTCTTTTCCGAGCTTTTTTTGTATTGTCTACTTGCTAAATATACATCGCCCATGGTACATTTATCTATAGTTTGTGGCTTAACTGTTAATTAAAATACACAATCAACATTCATCACGTATAAGTTTGGCATGAATGTTTAATGCTGACGATTGAGTACGTGGCTTCACTTCTCGCGTAACAAAGCCAAAGGGCGGTACTCAGTATATGACAGGTATGGTTATTCTAGTTGTGAACGTGACTGCGGTCACGAATCTATAGGCCTGTTTACACTTGCAATTTCCGCTGCGATTTTAAGTGTGATTCTCTTCTGATGATCAACGAGTAAATAAGTTGTGGATGTTCTGAGTATATCGCCTGCATGTATTCTAAAAACTCACTCACACTCAAAGAGTGGAGGTTCAATCTGAGCTTCCCTTAAGTGTCAGTGCTGTTTTTGAATAGCTGGAGGGTTAGTCTCGTACCTTACTATGTGACTACTCACCCTCCCGCTATTCAAAAACAGCATTGACACTCAAGGGAAGCTCAGATTGAACCTCCACTCTTTGAGTGTGAGTGAACTTTTAGAATACAGGCGTTAGTCTCGTTCCTTACTATGTGACTACTCACCCTCCAGCTATTCGAAAACAGCAGTGACACTCAAGGGAAGCTCAGATTGAACCTCCACTCATTGTCTTTGAGTGTGAGTGAACTTTTAGAATACAGGCGTTAGTCTCGTTCCTTACTATGTGACTACTCACCCTCCAGCTATTCGAAAACAGCATTGATACTCAAGGGAAGCTCAAATTGAACCTCCACTCATTGAGCGTGAGTGAGCTTCTAGAATACAGGCGTTAGTCTCGTTCCTTACTATGTGACTACTCACCCTCCCGCTATTCAAAAACAGCACTGACACTCGAGGGAAGCTCAGATCGAACCTCCACTCATTGAGTGTGAGTGTGAGTGAGCTTTTAGAATACAAGCGCGTATGTCTCGCTTATGATCAAGATTTGAGTGTACAATCACAGAATAAAGACACACAGAAGGTCGACTCAACCGAAGAAGCGTAACCACACAAGCGCGTATGTCTCTTCAGATGTTCCATCCTCTGAACATTCATAACTTATCCACTCGTTCACATCCATCAGAAGAATCGCACCTAAACTCGCAGCAGAAATTGCACTGAGTGTAAATGGCCATGTAATCGGATTATCCTCCCTTCACAAAAGTCGCCGACGATATTGCTAAATTTCAAGCGCTATCAGTTCGAAATTGTTGAAAAACACTATAACCACACTAAAATAAACCGATAGTATTTTGTAGAGATGAAAAGAAACTAGCTTTTTTCATCACAATTTTTTTGAAAAGGCTTGTATAGAGTCAGTGGATAATGGGCCAGAAGAAAAAGTTATCAATTGATAACTTCTAATATTATTTGTGTTTTACCTGGCAGTTTTTCTCATCAAACCGCGATAATTGCCAAAAAAACATCTGTGCACAAGATACTATAACATTCGTTTAAAGTACACCCAAATCTTTATATATCCCGTATCTATTCGTGTTTTGGAATTTGCGTGAACATGTATATTTATATACAAAACTAGATTATTTTACAGTGTTTTGGCTGTCACTTTGTATATATCGACATTACGCATCAGAAATTAAACGCATCACTTTCGGTAATAGCTTTTTAATTACTTCCAGCCCAGACTAGCCAAAGGCCGAAAAACCACACAACTTCAGGCTCAAATGATTTCAATATCTGTTTTGAGTTTGGCACTTTGGATAAAACTGCGTACATGCCCCATACATTATAGGCTCAAGAGCACATCGATACTGTACAATTGTCGCAAAATGCTAGCCAAAAGAGTATAGTTTTACCAAATCATTTAATTGCGCTTTTTCCGTTTGTATAACGCAGTTAGACTGTTTGCTTTAGCAATTGAAAAACTAATCTGGCAATAATAACACGAATATTGCCATATTGAACATTTCTAATCATATTTCGAAATGCTTTTGTGAAAAAAGATAGCATGACTGTCTTCGCATTGTGCGCTATTCAAAGCAGCGAAAATCGATTTGAGATATAGAATTTCTGTTTTCGATAAAGCGCACTTTGGCAATTGCTTTGAACTTATGGCGTTTACTTACCTAACCTATTTGCCTATGCGAACAATTTAGTTGAAAATTATTGTTATTTTTGCGGTATTGTTTTCATAAAAACTATAACTTTTAGACGGTATTCAAATGCGAGTTTACATTTGTAATCATACGGAAAAGCCATACCTTCCACGACGGACAACATAAGATAACCAAACGTCAGAACGCATCGAAGTAAAACCAGATCGATCTTTGCCATACGATTGGAAGCAATTTGAGACGCTTCACACCAGAACAAATTCGGTTCCTTCCTTGGGAGATTCGCTCTGAAGCGTGTTTTACATAACTGCCTATATTCTAATGCAAATTTGCTTGTCTAAAAGACGATCAATTAGCGCGGACCGCATACTGCAATGAATGGATGTCAGATTAAATCGCGAAACTCGTACATTAGGCGGGGAATTTGATTGTTACAGCAGTCAAAGACACTTATTGATAGCTTGAATACAGTTGCCTTGGAATTTTCGAGTTATTGAATATATTATACATGAACAAGACACTTCAATTTTGTTACAATAAAAAAGCAATAATTATCTTACTTGGTTACAATTACCGCATTTAATGCGAGTTTTTATATGCTCTACATATGAACAAGTTTTTACTAAAATTCTTGCTGTTGCTTGGCAGCTTTAAGGCCCATTTCAACTCAAGAAAAATTTCCACGGACAGAAAATATTCCGGGAATGTCATTGTTAAAAGTTGAAAATTTTCAACTTCAAAATTTTTTCCGACGGAAAATTTGTGTCCGCCAATCACATTCTACAAATTTTTTTTCTGCGGAAAATTTTCCCAAATGGAAACGAGCATTTACACTTTATGCAGCTTTAAACTGATAGTAATTGTTCTAATCTTTAAAAAATTAGATAGTATATTATCCTCAATAGGACCATTGAACGCGAAACACCAGTCAACAAAACGTGATCGCGGAACGCGGATGCTAATTGTACGTAACTGTGGAAATCGTTCGCGCGGAAGATCGAAACGCGGACGTTTTTTTACGTACACGCGGGCACCGTCTAATCGGGGATCATTGTATAAAACGTGATGACAGAAAATATTATTGTAGCGGTTAAGACGTAGAAAAATATCTGATCGAGGACGATGGAAGCAAAATGCCATTCATCTCTTTTAACGTCTACTTTCTGTTCGTTATCAAAATGATCTAGCAATATATCAACTTGCTGAGATATACAATCTAGTCTTTCATCATCCATTGATACCTTTTCCAAACTTTGGTGTGAACCTCTGGGGCTGAGATGATTATTATTAGCGTTCCATGGCGGGTGCTTTCCAGTGCCGTTTGCTACTGTTGCCGTGGTGTAAATATGTTTGTTGTGCGGTAGGAGACGCACCTGGCTTGGCCTGCGCCGTTCTTCGATCTTCTGCGTGCGCTTCGGGAATTTCATTCTGAGAAGTGGGGCAAAGACGGTGAAGATGAGATAGCGAAACCAGGCCGGCATCTCTTTGAAAGGATTATGGTGATAGCATCGGATTATGAAACAATTTATTACCAGCGAGCTTGTGACTTCGACCAGCACCGCAAAGAAATATTTTCCGATCAGAGGCATTGATTCAGACGTTGGTGGGATGCTCTCGTTGTAAAGTAACATGAATACAGTTAGGCCTGCAAATAAGAATATTCAAGTTAAAACATGTAACTCAACATTGTACACTCGTATTTGGATCCTGGACACAGAGAGTAAATGCACCAGAGGTCTCACGCTAAATTAACGTTAAGTGAGACCTGTGAGGTTGACCAATTTCAGATTAATAAAACTGCAAAATACTAGAAATTTTGTTTTATACTGGATAGTTCTATCAGTGCTAAACTGTTCTTCCCAGAGGTCTGGTAAGGGTAATACTTATTGATCCAGTATTACTACAAGAGGAAACCTAACCCAACTGGATATTATATTGGATAGTTCTACCAGGTCTAAGCTGTTCTCTCTAGAGGTCCAGCAAGGTTCAATTTGTAAACCTAAACTAAACTATTGACAGTTCTGTCAGTTATAAACCTAAGAATCCACTAACTTCATCACTTATTGGTCCAGTATTACTTCAAGACGGCATTTAAGTTAGAACTAGCTTTCTTTATACTGGATAGCTTTATCAGTTTTAAACTGTTCTCTTCCAGAGATCCAGCAAGGCGAGTAAATGTAAGCTAAACTAACGTTATTTATACTTGATAGCAAAATTTAAACTGTTCTTCCCAGAGATCCACTTATTGATCCAGTGTTACTACAGGAGGAAAGCAGAATTAAAGCTCTATTTATACTGGATAACTCTTTAAGTTCTAAACTGTTCTCCCTAGAGGTCCAGTAAGGGTCATCATCATGAATATATTTAAACCCACCTAAAAGCACGGTGATGACAAGTGAAACCCGCTCGCCCGATTCAGGCGGAAGATAAAAGGATAGTACCGTCATAGCGGCTAGTATGATGCAAGGTATTATAAGATTGTTGAGGTAGAACAGCACACGTCGTTTGAGGTTGATGGTATATGTAATGTCGACATAAGGGTTTGGGCAACAGGTGTATGTGAGAGAGTGCCGCATCCCTGGCATGCTGACCATCTCCCATTCCCCGTTTGGAGTGAACGCGGCCAAATCTGCTGCTTTTTTTTCGAGTATAAGATCTACCTGTATAAAATAGAGAGAATGTATATATTAGCCATGGGGTGTTGTCTCGTTCATTTCACGTCATCAAAACGTGTCACGAAAATTGGTGGGTAGTTGGGTAAGTGGGTAGGTAGGTAGTAAGTAGGTAAAACTTTATTTAAAAGATCACACGCTGGCCGCGTCAACTATATGCTGATTTCCACGAGGGGCGTGTGGATTACATGATATTACATAACAAAATATTATACACACTAAACTACAAAACAATTATGCACAAATTTAATAACATTATATTAGAAATTACAAGCGTCAATTGCATTTATAAATGTTGATAATGTATCTGAATCACGCATATCTGCAGGTATAATGAGTTCCACGGTTTAGCTCCATCATAACAAAAGCATTTCTCAAGGTTTTCAGTTTTTGGCAAAGGTAGTTGTAGTGAGGTAGAGGAGTCCTTAAGATCATACTCTGTTATGTTTCTTTTGCGTACGAAAAGAGTAGCGTGCGAACTTGGAGCCAAATCATTTAGAACTTTGTACATGAAAGTCTATTTGTGCTTTGAGGGTTTTAAAGTGTTTGAAAGAATACATTGTCTCACACAAATTGATCAAAGAAACGTTATAATATGAACGCAATTTAATTAAATTGGCCAACCTCAGCGCCAGTGTAAGCCCAGGATCCAAACTTCAGTTTACATTCCTGAGAATCAAATGGGAAGTTCTTGATATCGATTTGACAAATGCTGCTGATCTCCGCGGGAAGGAACCATTCAGTTCTTCCATTTGAGTGGATCTTTATCATGTAGTTTCTATTGTATATTGCTGCTTCTTGACCAATGCTAAATAAAAGAAACATAACAGTCATCGTCCGTCTGACGGGTCATCCACCTTAAGCCTGATTCACATGGGTTCACATCAACGATTTTGTCTTTCTGATGGATGCAAATGGGTGGACTCCCACAAAAAAGTATAGAAACGCTTTTTGGAAGTAAACATTTTTAGGAGGAGCTGATTTCGCTGGCCTCAGAGTGACAAAACGTAACAAAGCAACGGTCTTACTAACACTAACCCTATTCCAAACACTAACCCTATTCCAAGTTTGTTTCTAAACCAATCTTGAAGAAAAAAGTTTTGACGAAATGTCATTCTGAGGTCAGCGAAATAACTTCTTCCTCATTTCTTAGTCTTTTGCATGTCACTTATTCAATCACATTTGTCAGGATGAGATTGGGAAGACTCGCAAACAGAATTGTTAGTGTGAAGCTGGCTTTTGTACCGCCACTACAAGACGGACGAGCACACACAGCCAGTGTGGGTGGTGACAAAACTACCAGAAAATTCAGATCGATAGGGATTCAACGACCTGAAAAATACAAGTAAAACTGCATCGGTCGCTCGAAACGTCCAAGTTTTTCTTGTATTTCAGGTAGCTGAATCCGTTATCCATCTTAATTTTCTGTCAATATACAAGACGAACTGGCTAGAATAGTAGTTTTCAAAAAATTTACGACGAAGGTAATGCGAAGCTGAACTGTTAACTAGACAGCTCTATCAGTTCTAAACTCATGTTCTCCTTAGAGATGCAGCATGAGACATCTCTGACTGGTCTGGTCTTACTGCAACAGGAAACCAGAGTACCCTAAGAAAATATGCGGTATTTGGAAAAGTCAAACTGGACAGCTCTATTAGTTCTAAGCATGAGACATCACTCACTGGTTTGGTCATAACACAGAAGGAAACCATGGAGGGTACCCGAAGAAAACCTGCGGTATTTGATAGAGTCAAACTGGAAGCACTCTGCATATGGACATATCTGCATGCTAATATGCGCAATATAAATTTAATTATGTTAATGTATTCTCACATTCGATTGAGATGAAATCGTAAGACATATTGTAGGAGTCTAACCTCGCTCACAAAGCTGATGCAGTAATCATTGCGATCACGCACATCCCATGGGTTACTTCCAGCCTTACCTGTTATACAGCACTACATCGGGTTTCCAAACGTTCTTGGAATTGACGATAACAAACTTTATATCACAATAATCACTCGCGTTCCATGTGAGGTACGGATTCGTCCAAAACTAAAGAAAGGAGGATCAATGAATAGGAAGATTAATTGAATGATAGGAAGATTAATTGATAGGAAGATTAATTATTAAAAAGGAGTCCTGGAATGTTCTTGTTTCCAATGTCAGTGCCATTGCAATGCTAGAACGCAATTATCTTGAATGCGATACGTGCCCCATTATCGGATTTGAAATATTCTAGTCATCCAACTTAGTTATCCAACTTCATACCTGTCTCAACCAAACTTTGCTTCTCAATGTTTGCCTTCGTCCATCCTATAGAATAAGATTTAAAGAATGATTGTACTGGCAGAGTGGTTGTCCGTGTGTGTCTTTCACTTCGTACGATTCCTGCAATGTAGTTGCCTGAGTATAATTTCCACTTAATCACATGTGAGAAAAGTGGTTGAAATCTGATACCGCAGATTTTCCTCTGGTTCTTCATTTGCTCCCGCATTACCACATGAAAAATAAGGAATGGCCCTCACTGGCCCTCTTGGGAGACCAGTTTAGAGCTATCAGTATATAAAAAAGCAGAGTTTAGGTTTCCTCCAAGGAATAACCACCCTTATACTGGACCTCATGCAGGGAAGAACTGCTTAGAACAGATCCACTTATCCACTGAGAATAAAATTATAGATCATAAACTATGTGAAATTACCAATTCTACAATCTGATTAAAAGCAAGATCAAACGAAATGTTGACAGGTTTGCTTTTATCAAGGACTGGTCTTGCATTCAGGTCGTAATTCTTCATTAAATCTGCAATCAATATGTGTTCAGGATCTGTTTCTGAAGGATTCGTCTTATCCACTGTACATGTGACATTCTTCCTTGCAGGGCTTTGCTTTCTGCTTGACGACAATCCATCTAATAGAAATACGTAAAATAATTTAGAGTTAAAAGGTTTAAAGTTGTTTTTTAAGTTTTAAGTTGTTTTTTATTTATAGTTTTTTTTTAATTACAGTTATAAACTAGAGGGCACTCAGAGACTGCATACCTCCGCCCGTTACTCGGAAGTGAAACGCAACCTTGGAATTTCCTAAGAAATCCACTTTATAATTCTTAAGCATAAAAGATTTCAGGCCCCCGCGAATTGAAATCGAATTGCTAATAGAACATATTACTGTTGTTGCACTGTACAGTACTTGTAAAATAAAAAGTTTTTAAGTGTCATTAAATAAATGCACAAATTTTGCTTTATGCACTCGCGCGTGCAGTAATTTTCACAGTTGTGCTATTTTAAATTCCCAGGCAGCTAAAATCTTTTGTCTTTAAAACAATGTCGATTTCTTGGGAAATTCCGAGGTTGCGTTCTTTTTATACACCCTGTATTGAAATAATCTAATGTTGTTAGAATTTGAATGGACTGGCACTTTGCTGAACGTAATAATGCGTAACTCCGTAAGCCTTGTTTTAGACATTGAATTTCGGTCGCGTGAAACGCAACTAAGACAATAGATAATGAAGGCCGAAGCTTAATGAGGTTTATCATCTCATTATTGTCTTAGCACTGAGTGCATAAATTATACACGTCCTAATTACGCATTCAGTAATATATTTTGTTAATTGACCGGGAAAATCAAGACAAAATTTTGTTCATTTCTCGTTCAATTTTTAACCAAATTCAACCAAATTTTAATCAGTTCTTCCTTAGCCGATGGGAAATGCATTCAAAAAATTTCGTACGGATATGTTTGGTATTTCTTGAGTTATCGTGCTCACAGACAAACACACACACATACACACACACACACATACACACACACACACATACACACACACACACATACACACACACACACATACATACAAACCCAGATGATTACATAACCTCCTGGCGGAGGTAATTATGTCCATATACTTTTCTGACTATATTCAAATTATGTTTGCGATGTTACTCTGAGTGCATATCCACACCGGGCGAGAGTAACATCGCAAACATATTATTCACCTGAGTACACAACACCAACACAGAAAAAAAAAATTATATTCAAATTGTTTTAAATTTTTTATACGTTTCCCAAGCGACCACCAAACTTAAACAATTCCTACTCGGTGCTTTATCGGTAAAACTATGCTAAGAGTGAAGCGATTCTAGATGGTACGCCAAAGAGAAAATGATGTCTGAAGTTCAATTACGCCCGTATTCTAAAAGCTCACTCACACTCAATGAGTGGAGGTTCAATCTAAGCTTCTCTTGAGTGTCATTGCTGTTTTTGAATAGCTGGAGGGTGAGCAATCACATAGTAAGGTCCATATGGCACTACCCCTCCAGCTATTCAAAAACAGCATTGACGCTCAAGAGATGCTCAAATTGAACCTCCACTCATTGAGTGATGCTTATATTTCTGTATAAATATGGCGTCAATTTTACAGTATCAATGATAATTATAGTTTTGGATAATATAGAAAGGAATTTAGTTTTGTATATACATGATGACTTGCGCTCCTTTGAATTTACTTTTTACATGCATCAATGGCTAGACCACCGCGCAAGCTTGGCTGTGCATTATTAGACCTTTCCCCTTTTAAGTGAGATTTTGATCTAGACAAGTCTGGACAAAAATTTCATCACAGCTTGAAAGAGCATCGCACAATTAGTAATATTCCGAAGTTTCGTTGAAATGTTGTAAAATGCGGACAATATAGCCTTGCGAAGTTTGCCGTTTTTCAGTCATTTTGTATTACGCACGGGAAATTGATAATCAGTTTGATCAGATGATTATCAATTTCCCATTTGTAATCAAATAACTGAAAAACGGCAAACTTCGCAAGGCTATATTATCCGCATTTTACAACATTTCGCAACGAAACTTCGGAATATTACTAATTTTGTGATGCTCTTTCAAGCTGTGATGAAATTTTTGTCCAGACTTGTCTAGATCAAAATTTCACTTAAAAGGGGAAAGGTCTATTGATGACTACATTGACAAATCTCAAGTACTTAAAAAGTAGTTAAAATTTCCTCATGACACGCGCTACCACAAATTGTCTGTAAAAATAGAACTCAAACTTATTGAAAATTCATTTGGATATATAGGTCACCACACCTATTATAGAGTTGAAGATTGCGCATTTGTTAGGGTGCGCTTACATGCATAAGTACTATAGATAAAACATGAGCAGTCGATCTTTATCTGATATACAAACTCGAGCCGAAGGCGAGAAAAAAAAGCGACCCATCTTGTGAGTTCATTGGCGAAGTAATTTTAAAAATAAACATTGTCTAAGCCGAGAAAATCAAAGTTAAAGTTTATGTAAATCAGGACAAATCTGTATCCGATCATTGATTAAACATTCATTTCTTTTGTATTTTCCTCATGAATTGTTAATGAGTTTTCAAATATGGTCAGAATTTTTGTCTATTAATTTCTAACAAAAACAAGTTGTAATAATTACTCTTGGCTACTGCAACGTTTAAATGGTTGAATACATGTGTTATTCCGAAAATCTTTCAATTCCAATGCTGCTATTATCCACTTTTTGCTGTGATGAACTATGAAATATTTTAATAGAAGAGCTAGTCTTGATCATTGGCTGTCATCCACCCAGCGTTTATCGAAATTTAGAGAGGGGCTTTCGCATTTGGGCTCGTGGGTGGGTTCGATTCTCACTGCAGATTCATATGTGAAAGAGTCGGTCAGCGCTCCACTGAAAATCGTGGGTTTTCTCGGGGTGCTCCGGTTTTCTCCCACAGGGAAAGTTGACAGCGTCTGTAGCTGGGCTCCGTGATCAGACATGTGTCCCAAGGTGGCTGTTAGAGGCGTCCATGGAGAGGCTTCGGCTCGATCAGATTGAGCTATCGCCCTTCGCAATTCAGTTTAGCTCTCAGCTGCGAGTAAGGATGATTAGGACACACCCGCTTTATACTGGGGAGCGCAGAATGCTGTGTATTAGAGAGGTTAAGATACCCCGGTTTACGGGTACGAGTAACGCCATTTTATCTACCAATTTTTGCTCATGTCAGCATTTTTACTCGTAATTTCTATCCATTTCCCCGCGGTAAACCATGGTCTACACGTAAAAGACAAACGGGTACGGGTGTTTTCTGTTTACTATTTGTGGGCCGTTTAAATAGTAAAAATTTTCAACAATCTATAGCGAACCTCAACAGCGAAAGTTACAATTCTCTGATCGGTTTTCTCACGCCGGAATATCTTGGATTTCTTAAGTTACAAGTCGTTCCCCGATTTACGGATACGCGTACGTGTATATCACCCGTACTCGTAAACCGGAACCGGGGTGTCTTAACCTCTCTAATATCTCTGTTGCCCGATATTGCAGTAGTTAAGATCTTTGTTTTACGAGATATTAATGCTCTGCAGCCTAGTCCCAGTCGTTCTGAAGCAAGATGTAGTAAGAGACTGGGACCTAGGTGTGACGTCACCGCTAGAGGTGCTTCAGAACGCCTAGCAGATTTCAGTATTTTTAATATGGCGGAAAATTTATATATACAAATAACTTTGTATAAATACGACAATGTTCGTTGATCATGTTCGATGTCTATATAACCAAATTCAAACTGTATTAAAAATGTGCTCAATTAAAAAATATATACAAA